CTTGGAGCTATCAGTTCCAGAGCTGTATGATGCTTATTTGTCACACACCTTTCGCTGTGTCCCCGGCCACTATTCCATTAGCCCCACTTCAAATCCATGGTGATGCCAAATTGCAGAAACATGATAACCTGGATTTAAGCTGTGAATAAAACTAACTTGAAAATGAATATTTCTGGAGAACTCTTGTAGGTAAAGGGCGTTAATCCTTAGTGATGAATGCACTGAAAATGTCCAACCTGAAAGTTCAGCTTTTTGAGGTATGGATAAAAAAGCATCTTTACTATTTTTTTAACAGTACATATGCCTTTTCTTTACCTGCGCTGTAGCTTAATTATTATTAATGGAATCTTGTTCAAATTTTCACCAGCACCCAGAATTCAAGGGGGCATCAAAGAAGCTGAGAATGATAGGGGCACTAAAAAATTCACATGGAGATACTGAAATGACTGGGATTGTTTACCTTAAAAAGGAGACATATGTAATGCACATGATAATAAAATTATATTGAAAATGAATCATCTAGAGATTGTAGATCAGGAAGGTCTGTCCTCGCTGTCCAGAAACCCAGGAACAGGGGAAAATTCAGGGATGCCAAAAAGTGGTATATTCAAAACAGATAAAAGGATCTTTCTTCCCCAACCCACTGTGTAATTAGATTGAGGAACTCACTGCCACGGGCAGTCACTGAGGGTAAGAATTTGGCAAGGTTAAAAGAGGGACTGGATTTGTAGATGGATAACAAGACTATCTAGGGTTATAGGCAATGACAGTTGTTGTAGAATCTGTACAAAGCCTCATGCTTCAGGTCTCAAACCAAACCCTAGTTAGCTGGGATTAGAATAATACCTTCATCTGGGATGGGGGTGAGGCATTTTTCCCAGCTCTGCCCACTGTGGGGTGTCTTATAACTTTGTCTGAAGCATCTGGTGCTGACCCAGTGTCAGAGCCAGGATAACGGACTAGAGGGATCACCAGCCTGATCCAGTGTGACAATTCCTATGGAAATCCAAAAGGGAAATTTCAATCATGACTTGAGCAGGTGAAAATAGGGGACCTACTTCTCTGCTACTTTGCATCTTGTAGAGCAGGGCTTCTCAACTTTGGAAGCCCCAGGGGCCACAATGATACTTATAGCACATGCCGAAGGCCGCAACCTAAGTGCTGTTGCATATGCATGCAAATATATATGCAAATAGCTTCTTTCAGAACTGACAGGCACAAATACAAAGATTAAGGCAAGACTACACAACATACCTTACACAACATGCCCATTAAAGTCAGTTCTGCTGATATTAATAAAATGCAATTATTTACCTGATTTCCACCCATATGACAGCACTTTTAATGAGCAATCAACAGTCCAGGCATTTAACTACTAAAATGCATCTCAACAGAAGACCATTATCTTGATTATTTTTTAGTTTTGGCTCCCACCCATAGGCTGCAAACAAACAGGCTGCGGGCCGCATGTGGCCCACGGGGCATGTGTTGAGTAGCCCTGTTGTAGGGTCAGATGCACCTCAGTAAAATGGTACTAACTCAGGTTAGTAGTATTTTACACCCACTTCACACTTTGTATAGAAGACTATACGATATTTCGAGGTGTGAAGCAGGCCTCAAATGCTTTAAAGAGAGTCCCCTATATGGACATGGGTCCGACCTATGTGTACTGGAAGAGTAGTTAGGGACTACCATCCAACAACAAATCTTCAGACACAGATCCAGGACACAAGCCATCATGTACTTTGCTTCTCTGATGGTACTCATGGATCGCCTAAAAGTTTTCTGGTTGGTGCTTTTTCTCTAACTGAACAGAACTTTTCATTTTATACATTCCTTACTGTTTATCACAACATGAAAAATAATTGTTTAGTCGCATCATACATCCCTGAGACAGAATATGTCCCAAAGGTCCCAGACACATGGTTAAATACCGCTTTCAGAGGGAAACCACGGGATCAAAGAAGAAACGATTCTTTTGTGTGCGGGTAAGTCATGTCATGTTAGATGTTGGTAAAAGCTAGAATTTCTCTCATTTACTGTATTATATGCCAATGATGACAGTATTTTGGGTTGTGCTCATGTTTAGTCCTGGACTTGTTCTTTGCCAGAGCTGCATGTATTGCCACAGAATACTTTATTTGAGGGACAGGAAAACAGCAATGCGCAAAGCAAACATCAGAAATGGTGCTCTGATGTATAAGTGAAGCCTGGTAAATATTTTCATGCTGCTTTCTTTCTACTGTCTCGCTATACAAAACCATGTATGGGCTGGGTTCTGCCACCCTTACTCACATCTAGTAATGTTGTCCCTGACTAGCCTGACTGGAAATCAATGTGGCCACTTGAGGACCATGTGAATAAGGTTTAAAAACATCTGACATTCTGAAGCCAAATTTAAACTTTGTAACTGAACTGATGTCAGGCAGTGACCTGGCTAACCAGAGAATACTAATCCTCCTGGCTATCAGCTGCTCTCATCTGATTTCTGTGTACAATGAGTCTCTGGTCTCAGTCCACTGCTGCATGAAGAAGTGCCCGCTCCACAAATGTCATCATACTCAGTATTAACTGGGTAACTAATGGGGGGTTGCCATTGACATCAATGGAAGTAGAATTAGACCTATAATGCTGAAATAGCTCCAATTCCACCTCAGATTAGATTATTCCCCCTTATGGAAGTGTAAATTCCTGGTAGCTATTTTAATTGCCCTTCTCACTGTACTTGAGAACCACATTTTTTCTATAGTCAGGCTGATATGTAAAAGCATTGGGAGGTGAAAATAGTACACTAACTGCCACCTAATGTAATATCTCCACAGTAATTCCTCTACAAAATATCTTACCCCCTTGATTGCTTTTGTTGTGAACTGGATAATGTATCACTTACAGCTGACTAAACTCATAAGGCTTCAGTTCTTATTTACAGTAACTTTGCAATCAAACTGAAATGTCAGGTCTTGAAAGCTGTTTATGTGAAAAAGAAAGAAAGTCTAGACTACAATGCTTTATTAGAAAAAGGTACGCAAGTTGCACTCTGCAATTTGTGTACCTTTTTCCGAAAGTTGTTTTGGAAGAGGCTTTTCCAAAATTTGGCCCGTCTACACTGGGCCAAATTTCAGAAAAACTTCCTTTTTAGGAAGAGCCCTTCTTCCTCATGGAAGGAGGAAGACAGGGCTTCCGAAAGAGGGCATCTGCTCTTCCTCCAAAAAAAGAGGAAGAGCAGATGCTTTCCCTGAACATGGCTGAGTTTTTCTGGGATATCTCTGGTATCCCAGAAAAACCTGTAGTCAAGAAATTAATTAATTACAGAATACAGCTGTTTTGCATGGGTTAACTTTAATTGATATTATCTCTTACGGAAATGTCCAAATGGACCTTATTAAGACAGGTTGGGATCTAAAATGTAGATCTGTCTTAGTAGAGGTCACATTATATGAAAAATACTCTCTAAAGAACATGCACACAAAACTGAAATAAAGAAACAATTTCTTAACTATGTAAGTGAAGAGCGAAACAGTAACAAACAGTGGGAACATATTGTGGTGGATGGATCTAACCTATTTGTAGTAAAAAAGGACATTTAAAAAATAGTGGTATAAGGTTTAACTCAAGGGTGGGGAACCTCTTTTGGGTCAGGAGCTGCTGACCCACAGAAAAATCAGTCAGGGTCTGGGGGCTGTGAGGAGGCATCAGGGGGCGGCTGGAGTGACAGCACAGGCTCCCCTATGCTGGGAGGGGTCCTCAGCCTCAGAGGTCAGATCTAGGCAACCCAGGGACCGCATCCGGCTCCTGGGCCTTAGGTTTCCCCACCCCTGGTTTAACTTAAAGAAACCCAAGCATGTTGAAGTCTGGAAACACACAAGTAGGGCACCCTAACACTCTTAACTCTGCTCTGTAGGCTCAACATGGGGATGGTGAGAGTGGTGGGGATAAAACCTAGATGTCGCTTTTTAAAACTGCTCATTTAGCATTGGACTTCAAACATTAAAAGACATTAATCAGATATTTATTCCATGTTGTCACTATAAGGCAATTGGGTGCCCTAACTGCATCTCCAGACCTTTGCATGTTTGGATTCAAGATTAACCTTAACTCTGAATTTTGTGGATTTATAATGGCTGCTTTTGGGATAAGTATACATCTCTCTAATATACCTTACCCTAAATGTACTGATATGTGTGGTCAATTATAACTTCTTGTTGTAGCTTTCTCTTTTGTCTGGGAATTAAGAAGCATGCCCCCTAGATTGATCTAGGGAGGCTAATGAGGGTGACCGGAATTGCAAATTAAGTCCAGGATTTAAATATCCTGCGCTTGATTTGCATGTTCCCGGCCGGTCACCATTTTAGAAATTGATTAGCCCTAAGTAACTGCCCGTGTCTACACACGGCAGTGAAACGGGATTCCGATTTAAAGCCCCTAATTCGAATTAGCTGGTAAATTCAAGGAATACCAGCTAATTTGAGTTAGGACTTTAAATCGGAATCCCGTTTCACTGCCACGTGTAGATGTGGACAGTTACTTCGGGCTAGTCAATTTCTAAAATTGTGACCGGCCGGGAACATGCAAATCAAGCACGGGATATTTAAATCCCGGGCTTGATTTGCAATTCCGATTGCCCTCATTAGCCTCCTTAGATCGACCTAGGGGGCTAGTGTAGATGTACCCTTAGTTCGTTATATGCTGCCCTTTCTTAGACTGTAAGCTCTAGGGTCCTGGGACTATGTCTCTCATACATTTACATTCTGTACCCTCTAGCTAATGTATTCATAAAATAACCATAGTTCAGAGTGGCCAGATCCTCAGCTGATGTACATTTTGTAGCTTCATTGAATTCAATGGAGCACATGCCAGTTTGCACCAGCAGACCCTTCTGCCCCCCAAACCTGGCAGTTTCCTTAGAAAGGTAAAGTGGTGTTCACAGACTGTTCTCATTGTTGGCACATGATTTTTCAAATCCTTTTCCTTGGCAGATTTTTTAGAAAGCCACTGTGTAAATGGGAAATCAAACACTCATCACGGAATTTGTTTTCCTGGGCTTTTCAAACCACCCCAACCTTCAGATTTTATTCTTCCTGGTCTTCTTGGTCATCTACACAATAACCCTCTTGGGGAACATGCTGATCTTAACTCTGGTAAGGAATGATCCAACTCTTCACACGCCCATGTATTTTTTTCTTAGTAATCTGTCCTTTTTAGATATATGCTACATATCCACCACAGTGCCAGTCATGCTGGTAAACTTCTTCCAGCACAGGAAAACCATCTCGTACTCTGGGTGCATGGCACAACTGTTTTTCCTCATTACCTGTGCCGGCACAGAGTGTGTGCTGTTGGCTGTCATGGCTTATGACCGATATGTGGCTATCTGCAAGCCCTTGAGCTATTCAAGCATTATGAACACAAGGCTTTGTGTGCAGCTGGCAGGGTTTGCATGGCTGTGTGGCTTGGTGAATTCCCTAGTGCACACTCTCCTGACATCAGCCATCGTCATGTACAAGTCCAATCAACTCAGCCACTTCTTTTGTGATGTCCCGTTGCTGCTGAAGCTCTCTTGCTCAGACACGTTTGTCAATGAAGCAGTGCTTCATTTGGCTAGTGCCTTGATTGGACTGAGCCCTTGTCTGTTCACTGTGGTCTCCTATGGCTACATCATCAGCGCCATCCTGAAGATCCGTTCGGCCATGGGCAGATTCAAGGCTTTCTCTACCTGCACCTCACATCTGATTGTGGTCATCATATTCTATGCCACCTCCAATTTCAATTATAATCGGCCCAGCTCAGGCTACTCTCTGGACATAGATACTTTGGTTTCATCATTGTACTGCATTGTGACCCCGATGTTAAACCCGGTTATCTATAGTCTAAGGAATAAAGAAGTGAAGGGTGCATTTAAAAAAATGGTCATAAAGTATTTTGCTTCAGTGGCCCAGAGCAGAGGCGGGGTAGGGACACAGCAATGACATGAGCAAAGAAGAAAGGTTGCCCCGGTGTAAACGTCTCAGAGCATCATAATCAGGGATTGCTGAACTTCATGGAACTGAAGGGTTTGCTGCTTCTTGAACCAACGTAGGGGCAGGGTCAACCATCAGACAGATTTGAGTTTACTACTTATTACCACTGGTGCCCTTGACTGAGATCAGAACCCAGGGTGTTTGCACAGCGGAGAGCACAGAGTGAGATGCGGTTGCCATCTCAAAGAGTTTACCACCTAAGGCCGCCCTCCTACAATGGTATTGAGCTCCTTCATCTCCTAATGGAGTCAGTGAGAGTTTCAAGAGAACATCTCTTCTTCTCGATTGAATGTAAAGGGAGGGAATTAAGCTTGTGAACTTGGTCAAATCTGCCTAGGTGCATGTGGGGAAAAATGAAGAGGAGGTGGCAGCAGCAGGCTCCGGGTCTGGGAAATCTGGCTGGTCTCCTGGAGGCTGGATGACTTGGTTTAAGAAGGGCAATGTGATTCCCTTGCTCTCCCGCCACACAGGTGCCCAATAGCCTACTGCTTGTACAATGAACTGAGTGTGGGTGGACAAGGTGTGCCCATCCTGCAGATGGGTGGAGGCGTTTGGCTGAAATGGGAAAGTAAGAGCTTGCTGTGTTCTTAAACCATAGCTTACAGCAGCAAACACCGATTCTGCTTCACAGATGCTGGATAATACAACTAACTCATTTCAGGAAGACCAGAGCCCACTGGTTCTGCACTGTGACCGGGACTGGTGATTGGGCTGTGCCGCAGAAGCTCGCAAGCTGGTGTCAGCAGGTGTCAGCAGCCAGAGCCGTCCCATCCTTAGGACAGTTTGGGGCCTGTGCTTTTTGGAGACCCCACAGGGAGGCCTGGTGCCAGCAGCAGGGGTTGGTAATGCCCCAGATTGCATCCCGCAAGGTCGGAAGTTTGGGGGAAGGGGTGCAATGGGATGGGAGGAGATAGAGCAGGGGCAGGAAGAGGCTGGGAGGAGCAGGATAGGAAGAGGTAAGGCATGGCCTGGGACAGAAAAGGGTCCTGGGCCCTGCACCCCCCAAGAGATAGCTCTGTCACCAGCTGTGGCAGAATTGCTCTGATGCAGAGGGATCCTTGGGCAGTCAGGATAATGACTTCTGGGCCACCTTCCCTCCCTCCTGCCAATGCAAGACATGGGTTTTGCCTCACTGATTCCATGCTGCCAAACTGGCCCCTTGAATCAGCTGTTGTAAGCTGCTCTTTCTTGAAGGGCTATTGCTGCTCCAACCGTTGCAAAGAAGGCCTCTCAGGCTATGTCTAGACTACGGGGGTTTTCCAGGATACCGAAGGTATCCTGAAAAGACTCTGCCGCATCCATGAAATGTGTCTGCTCTTCCGCTTTTTTTTGCCCACGAGGAAGAAGGGCTCTTCCAAAAGAGGAGGCTTTTCCAAAATTTGGCCCAGTGTAGACAGGCCACATTTCAGAAAAGCCTCTTCCAAAAAAACTATCGGAAAAAGGTATGCAAATTGCAGAGCGCAATTTGGATACCTTTTTCCGATAAAACCCTGTAATGTAGACATTGCCTCATCTAACTACTGCTCTTATGCTTCTAAAAAGCACATGGAACATGGATCCATGTAAAATCAAAAGGGGGACAATGTGTAGTAAGTTTGATTTGAAATGAAATTGTTTTGTCTTATATGATAAATTTGAAATTGTTTGATGTAAGTTTACACATTTCTGTTTTATAGCGATTTAGTAAAGTTGGAGATTGCTCTGTATTGTTCTGCCTTAATAGAATTGTTCTGTTCTGTTAGAAGTTTGTTGTTTTAATAGGATTGTTCTGACCCAATAGCGGTTAGAAGTTTGCTTTAGAAATCTGTTGTGTGTGTGAATGAGCCACGTGGGGAATGTGAGTAAATAAAAGGAAAGATGCCAGTAAATTATGAAGGAGAGAGTGAAGAAGCAAGACACCAGCGACATTATCACAAGACCCTGATGGCTAGACGAGGTTGCAGATTGATGACCACAGAATGCAAAAGGCATCCACCCTAAATAAAAAATAAGGTGATGGAGTATAGCTGTGACAACAACGTGCTGCTGATGAAAGAAAACTGAAAAAGCAACCTGTTTGTAATTAATAATCCTAGCAGGACACAGCAAAGTCCACAGGCGTACATAAAGATCTGTTAGTACAAAAGATGGATGAAAACTGAGGCTTATCCTGCAAGAATGGAGCATCAGATCATGACCAACAGAGCCCAGCTCCCCACTAGATTGACTCAATCAACAAGAAGGACTGGTAATTATAAATCCAGCTACAGGACTCATGTGTGTGCATGTGCATCTGTATATGGATGTACACATAGGCTGACTTTAATATTTGTTTAGCATTTTAAATAAACGCAGCGTACTGCCTTGTCTCCTAAAAATATTCCAGGTGCTTTAGAAGCATAACACTGCCCTGCCCAGATCTCTGCTTGGGGAAACAGATGCCAAGGGAGTATCAGTGCAATTCAGGCATCCACTCAGAGGCCACATCTAATCTCTGTTTGGGATTCAAAGACCAAACCTTTTGATGTCACAACCTGCCAAGGGTGGACAATGTGAGGCAAGTGCTCAAATTAACAGTGCATTTGCCAGTGCAAGTAAAATGGCCCCTCATTTCCCAAACAACATCAATGTAATTAATTGCTTCCACCAAAATTCATAACAAGCTGACCCTGCCTTTCTGGCCCTCATCTCACCCTGTTTGTTAGTTTGTGGCTCAATCTGCTTCCCTTGTGTTCCCTCTCCCATGGCTCTCTGCAGGGCTAGCTGTTTCACTGGGTAGCATCCAGGGATGGGAAGGAAGTCTCCCTTATGCCCAAATGCTCACACAGAGCCAGCGAAGCAGGGGTGATTCCTTTGAGTAGAAGGCACTAGGATCTGAAACAGTGGCTCAGCTACTGATATCAGGGAGCTGCTTGTGAAAGGAGGGGAATCCAGGAATTCCTAGGATTTTCCAAGCAGAGTCTTGTCAAGAGTCTGTGCTCAGGCTGTCCCCAACACCTCTCGCCACATGATGTGCCACACTCAGAGGAACTAAATGTAAGCACATGGGGCTAGGTTTGTATTGACGCTATGGCCTGTGTGACACTGCCAAAGTGCTATAAAAGAGTACATGAGTCATGGCCCCTTACAGTGGCATTATGTGCTTGGGGAGACCTTGTTGCCTACATCCATGACACGCTTCATGTGGCTTGGGGAAAGGAAGCCGCTCTTTTCCCTCTCAGTGTTGATCTTTTGCCTGGGTACTAGTGTTCCTGGCAGCTTCTGGCTTTGGTGTAGCCTCAACAGGCCAAGCTGGACAGCTACAATTGTCAACTTCAGTTTCTCACTCGGTACAGTAGAGCTGAGTGATTTAATTTTTCTTTTGGTAGTAAATGTAGTGCTTGTGAAAGAGCCCAGATCGACTGCCCTAGAGATAAAATGGTGTGGAAACCCCAAGCTGTAAGACGAGAAAAAGGTTGAAGTTAGGGGCTGAGTTCCCTTTCCACTTACCATGACAAGGAGATGGAACTTGTACAGAACACAGCTCCCCACCCACTCCCAAGAGGCATCTTGCTTTGCTTGTGTGGAAAGCTGAGTCCTGCTCTATGGAAGAGCCTTCCAGACTTCTGCCCTGCTCAGTGACATCCTATCTATTCTCTAAGCTCATCAAGAAATCTGGCTTTTAGCTCTTGCCCATGCAATTGCACACTCTCTTTCTCTGCTATATGGAGTACACAAGGCCTACATAGCATGTCATTTCTCAACCATGCATCTGGACATAGATCTTTTCATCTGCTGCCAATTGGGCTCCATTGTGTTTCCATAACAAAATAAAAACATCAGGATGATAAATGCTGCAGTCTAGAAAATAAGTGAGTTTAGGCAGTTGTTAACACATTTCGAGTTCACAAGAGCTGGAGGTGGAATACTAGAAGTGGACCAATTTACACATGATCCATCATCCGCCACAAGTACCCAAATGTGTAATTTTAGACTGTTTTGGGTTGTCACAACCATGGTTGATGTTCTCCTCTTGGACGCTCACCAGGCTGTTGTGTTATGGCTGATGCATCTCTGCCCACTGAGTCTGAGCCACATCCAGGCCTGTTCCTGGCTCACTCTTAGGCTGCGTTTAGACTGGCATGATTTTCTGCAAATGCTTTTAACGGGAAAGTTTTTCTGTTAAAAGCATTTGCGGAAAAGAGCATCTAGATGCACTTTTTGTGGAAAAGCGTCCGTGCCAATCTAGATGTGGTTTTGCGCAAGAAAGCCCCGATCGCCATTTTCACCATCGGGGCTTTTTTGCGCAAAACAGTTTTTAGCTGTCTACACTGGCCCTCTTGCGCAAATACATTTGCTCCAGAGGGCTTTTTCCCCGAACAGGAGCAGCATCGTATTTGCGCAAGAACACTGACAATCTTACATTAGATCGTCAGTGTTCTTGCGCAAATTCAAGTGGCCAGTGTAGACAGCTAGCAAGTTTTTCCGCAAAAGCACCTGCTTTTGTGGAAAAACTTGCCAGTCTAGATGCAGCCTTATGGTATAGCCTGTGTGTTCAATACCCTTTATTGGAAGTGGGAGTCTGCCATCTGGGGGTGTGTCTAGACTACAGGGTTTTGTCGACAAAAGTGGACTTTTGTTGACAAAACTATACCTGCGTCCACACTGCCTTTGAGTTATGTCGACATAATGTAGACAAAACTCAGCAGTTTTGTCGACGTATGTAAACCTCATTCTACGAGGAATAACGCCTTTTGTTGACAGAGTTCTGTCGATAGAAGGCATTATTGCATCTACATTGTCCTTTGCGTCCACACTGTTATGTCGACAAAGTGGCTTGCTTTGTCGACAGAACTGGATGTAGTCTAGACGCTCTTTGTCGACAGAAGCTTTGTCGACAGTATCTGTCGACAAAACTTCTGTCAACAAAACCCTGTAGTCTAGACATACCCTAGATGCCCTAGATCCCAAGACTAGTGCTGACCAATGTT